GGTATGGAAGAGCACGAAGAATATTAAAAAAAAAAAAAAAAAAAAACAGTCCTTATTACATACACACACACATACATTTATATATATATATATATATATATAGTAACAGCTATGCATGACCAGATGCAACCAACCCTGATCATAACTCTGACCCCACACATGTTGTTAATTCATTATTATTCATTGCTTAAATGTATAATTACAATGTAACAAGGACACCTTAAAAAAATAATGTTTATGCCATTTTTCACTCAGATGTTGGAATATATGAAAGATGTGAGCTTCACTGTTAAAACAGGTGAGACAATCTTCTTTGATGCAAGTGGTGATCCAGTAGCGAGATATGATCTGGTGAACTGGCAGCCTGCTGAGGATGGAAGTATTCAATTTAAGCATGTGGGATTCTATGACAGCTCACTGTCTTCAGAGCAATGTCTTCAAGTCAATCAGGAACACATGCTATGGACAGGAAACAGTGGACAGGTACATAGATACTATATACACTAACAGCATTAAAGGCATAAGAAGATATTTGAATTATGAGAAGGAGAGCCAACAAGAAACATAATTTACATCAATATACCTGAAAATATATGAAAGCAGAATGGTGCCATAACTGGAAAAGTAATTCCATGCGGTTAAGCAAATACATTTAAAAAATAAAATCATCATTTGGGCTTATTTGAAAACGTATTTTGTCATAGTTGCCTGTGTCCGTGTGCAGTGAGAGCTGCCCCCCTGGCACTAGGAAGGCTGTGCAAAAAGGTCGGCCTGTCTGCTGTTATGACTGTATTCCGTGTGCAGAGGGAGAAATTAGTAATGGCACAGGTAAAATAGTACATGCTAGATAACTCTTGCGATAAAGTGCAATAAAGTGAAGTGTAAGCATTGGTCAAGTGACCTCATGATTCATTTTCCATTCAAATAATCTGTTCTTGAAATTCCTTTACAGATTCTAGTGCATGCTTTCCTTGTGATTTGGAGTACTGGCCAAATGAAAGCAGAGACAGATGTGTATTAAAAGTGGTTGAATTCCTTACCTATACAGAAATCATGGGTATGGTGCTTTGTATTTTTTCCTTCATTGGGGTGCTACTAACAGCAATTGTATCTCTTCTGTTTTATCTTCATAAAGAAACACCTATTGTAAGAGCCAACAACTCAGAGCTGAGTTTCTTGTTGCTCTTCTCACTCTCACTGTGTTTTGTCTGTTCCTTTATTTTCATTGGTCGGCCCACTGAGTGGTCCTGTATGTTGCGTCACACAGCATTTGGGATCACTTTTGTCCTCTGTATCTCCTGTGTTCTGGGCAAAACTATAGTGGTCTTAATGGCTTTTAGAGCTACAGTTCCAGGAAGTAATGTCATGAAATGGTTTGGGCCTCTTCAACAGAGACTCAATGTTGTTTCCTTAACATTAATACAAGTGATTATCTGTGTGCTTTGGTTAACAATATATCCTCCTTTCCCATATATGAATTTGAGCTATTACAGAGAAAAGATCATTTTAGAATGTAACTTAGGTTCAGCTCTTGGATTCTGGACTGTTCTGGGTTATACTGGCCTGCTATCAATCTTGTGTTTTGTTTTAGCCTTTTTTGCTCGTAAACTGCCTGATAACTTCAATGAAGCCAAATTTATCACATTCAGTATGCTCATATTCTGTGCTGTCTGGCTCACATTTATTCCAGCTTATGTCAGTTCTCCTGGAAAATTTACTGTAGCTGTGCAGATATTTGCTATTTTAGCGTCAAGTTTTGGTTTACTATTTTGCATATTTGCCCCAAAATGTTACATAATTTTGCTAAAACCAGAGAAAAACACAAAGAAACAAATAATAGGGAAATGATGAAGCAATACAGATGATGCAATAAATATATGTTGTTAATGCTGTCAAGCAAAACACAGGCTATGTGATTTTGGCCACTGAAGAATTGAAGCATTAAAGTCTGTTTCAAAATAAATAGGAAATGCTCGATATTACTGCCTGAACTGAATAAATAAATAAAAATGAATAAATAAAAAAAATTACTTTATAGTCACTAAACAGGTGGATTTCCATGTTTCGCAACAATAAAGCCTACATTATAGCAGCACTACTTTCAGGGCTGTCTGACCCTTTAGTTCTACTCTCCACAGGCTGTGGCAGGCTCTGCAGTGTAGGCCGGGTCAGCACTAGACACAGTGGACTCTCGGTGACCATCTTCATGACAGCCATGTTCTGGATCTGCATTATATACTTCCTAATAAAAAATGACATAGACTTTTTGCATTTAACAAGAAATGGAAATTTAATTTAATATCCTTTTTTCCTTACAGCTTTCTGTATTTCCTTGAGTAAACCATATTGCAATGTATTATGTTCATAATTTAAATGTACACAATTGTATGCATCTTATATGTATTTTTTGTTACGTCTCATACATATGTCATATTAAATGCAAACTGTAGATCTAGGTCTATCTGTTTATATTAGCAGTTTGTTAGTCAGTCCATTCAATTTCATCCTCCAATATATATGCTCCATCTTGTTTTTGTTGCATCCACCCATTTAAACAATGTCATAGTACTGAAACTGCACTCATCAGAATTACAAACAATTTGTCCTTATCATGGTTACATATAAATCGTAGTTATCTCTCCATTATCAATTCGTAACAGTAAATAAAGAGGGGTCATATTGATCATGAGTTCGATATGGAGTACCACAAGGCTCGTTACTAAGACTGTTGCTTTTCACCCTGTACATGCTATCCTTGGGAAATATTATTAGGAAACATGGAGAAAGCTTTCACTGTTATTCAATTCAATTCAAGTTTATTTGTATAGTGCTTTTCACAATACAAATCATTGCAAAGCAACTTTACAGCAAATTAAGTTTCTACAATATTTAGTGGTAGCTTATCAGTGATGACTGTCAGTTAATGTACACATGGCAGAAATGTACGGAAAAATCAATTAAAGACGTAATCAAACAGACGATGAACACTATTAACAGCAATCATTATATGATGCAATCAAACTTATAGCTAAATTTGGTAGTTCTGTATTATTTCTGATGTTATCTATTTTATCAGTGAAGAAATTCATAAAGTCATTACTATTAAACTGTGAGGGAATATTTAGATCGGGTGGTGTCTGGTTATTTGTTAATCTAGCCACCGTGCTAAATAAAAACCTTGGATTGTTTTGGTTACTATCTATCAGTTTGTGGATATGCTCGGCTCTGGCAGCTTTTAGAGCCTGTCTATAGCTGGACATACTATTTTTCCACGCAATTCTAAAAACTTCCAAGTTAGATTTTCTCCATTTGCGCTCAAGACTACGAGTTTTTTTCTTGAGAGAATGGGTATTACTGTTGTACCATGGCGCAGTACGTTTTTCTCTAACCTTTTTCAAGTTGATGGGGGCAACAGCTTCTAATGTATTAGAGAAGATAGTGCCCATGTTGCTAGTCATTTCATCTAGTTCATGTGTATTTATGGGTACACAGAGCAGTTGAGATAAATCAGGCAGGTTATTTGTGAATCTGTCTTTGGTGGCTGGAACAATAGTTCTGCACTTCTATCATTTAAGCGGGTAGAACAAAAGTCATCATGGCAGTTATTTGAGATTTGACTTATTAGTCATATGGTGCGTAGCATCCTGGAGATGTTGTCCGACAGGAGTTCCGCTCCGACTCTGCTGGGGTGCAGGCCATCAGCGCGAAAAAGCCTAGGACGCTCCCAGAAAAGATTACAATTATTAACAAAGAGCAGTTTCTGTTCTTTACACCATGACAATAACCATTCATTTAAAGCAAAAAGTCTACTGAACCTTTCGTGTCCTCGTCGATACGTGAGAAGTGGTCCTGACACGATGATCATCGCTGCGGGTGATGTGCTGCGCACCGTCTCGATCAGGCTCCTGAAGTCCCTCTTCAGTGTCTCCGTCTGCCGCAGCTTGGTGTCGTTAACCCCCGCGTAAAGCACGACCGCTCCAGGGCTCTCGTCGCAGAAACATCGAGAACACGAGCACCAGGGAAACAGTGAGTGTGCACTTTACCTTCAGCTAACGTAGCACGGACGTGCCGGACGATAGGGTCGCCGACGATCACAGTGTCGCGTTCTTGGATTCTGGACTGTTCTGGGTTATACTGGCCTGCTATCAATCTTGTGTTTTGAGAGAATGGGAGGGGAGGGGAGCGAAGCGGTTCCGGGTGGAGATCTCGAAGACCGGAGGCGGCGGAGGGGGAGAGGTCGTCGCCCGGGGCCTGGCTTGCGTCTTCCGCTGCGGGTGCACCCAGGTTCCGTGGTGACACTACGCCGGAGTGAAGGACATCTGGGAAGATCGTGCAGATCTGGGGCCTGTGCAGAGAAACACATGGAGCAGAGATGGTGGGAGAGTTAGCAGCGCGCTGTATACTTACCCCGAACTTGTGAGCGTCAGCCCGGGATGTTTCCAGTGCGGTTCTCCGCTCTCTCAGCTGGGTCTGCCTATCCACCAGGTCGTGGATCTGCTTCTACCGAATGCAGCTCGAACGTGTTCTCACCTGCACTCAAAGGTAGACACATATCCGCCATTAAAGCAAGTAACAGTGAGTAAAACAATGGTAATCTGTGTGAACAGAGTATTAGCAATGTAAGCAAGATTAGCGGCAACCACGCTGGTGATGCTAACAGGCTATATGCTGATAGCGGACTTGGGAATTCAAAATAGAACTAGTGAGGCGCTCTGATTGTTAACTAGTTATGGTTAATTATTCATATTTCCCCATGAGCTGATTCGCTACAATGTTGTAGAATACAATATGGGATATATTCACACAAATATATTCAATATATATATATATATATATATATATATATATATATATATATTCACATGTTATAGAAACGAAAATGATGGTGTATAAAAAAATAGATGATAAAGAATTCACTTGACGGAGCTCAAACTCAAAACACACGGCAGCAACAAATAGGAAGTGACGTATAGCATGTTATGCTGATGATACTCAGCTCTGTATTTCTTTGCAGCATGATGAAACATACCAATTCACAAAACTAACAGATAAACTAGAACACTGTCCAACACTTGGTGGCTGCCCTGTTAATTCATCAGTTAGGAACCTAGGTATGCTATTTGAAAGCCACATTTCTAACATTTGTAAAATTACATTTTCCATCTTATAAAAATGGGTAACACTTTAGAATAATGGTCCGTTGTTAACAAGTAACTATGCAGGAAGTAATAGGTAGTACTACATTAACACTTAACTTAGTACCATTAACTAATAGAGAAGCAAGATTAACTAAGCAGCAAGTAGTAGCAAATTTAGGACAAAGGTAGTTCCTTATTAGATATTTTATAATTATTAAATAAAAATATCCTCATTGAGAAATACTTGTGAACTATGACCAGTTAATAAAGAATAACCAATTAATTACTAATCACAACAGTAATGTCTTAAAAGTGAACAACTGGGTTCTTCGTGGTAACTAATTTATGAATTTGATATCCCCCAAATAAGTCGGCTACATTTTAAAATTGTGACTACTACTCTTACCAAAGGATGGATGTTCAAACTTAAACATAGAATAATAATAAAAATGAAAATTCACTTAAAAATGTTAATAATTAGGAAGTGATTGAATTAGTTCACAATTATGATCTCTGCTTCTTGTCAGTTCAGTATCAATGTATCCCACTCCAAAAGACCTACTGGCAAAATATCACTAGTGCTTCACACAAATGTATGACTGTACAGTATGTCAGATATAGTAGTACAAGTACACTAGTAGTTCCTGCAGGCTGACAAGGTAACGCTTGAGTAATTAGTGAGAGGCTAATGTATTTTTCACTTTAAAGCTAAAGTGCTACTAAGGAACTACTAGTGATCTGGACCATTATTTTAAAGTGAAAAACACCTTAACCACTCAGTAATTACTAAGTAATTTAATAAGTTATTTAACATATTTTATATCTGACACATACATTTGTGTGAGGCGCTAGAGATATTTTACCAGACACTGTTATCTGGAATATGCGGTTTTGTGCTTAACACAATATAAATGCAGTCGATGCCTTCATTAAGGATGTCAATTGTTTTTGTCAAGAGAACATCATTATTTATATTCAAGAAAAGTCCTCCCCAGCCTACTGTCACAAGGTAAAGGTCAGGGGTAGAAAAGTTTGGTCCTAGAGAGCCGCAGTGCTGCAGAGTTCAGCTCCAACCCTGAAAAAAAACGCACCTGCCTATAGCCTTAGTAATCCTGAAGACACTGATTAGCTTGTTCAGGTGTGTTTGATTAGGGTTGGAGCTGAACTCTGCAGGACTGTGGCTCTCTAGGACCAAACTTGCCTACCCCTGGTCTAGGTCTTTGGAGACATACTGAACTGACACAAACTAGAGCTCATAATTGTGAACTAATTCAATCACTTCCTAATTATTACAATTTTTAAATGAATTATTTTTATTATTATTTTATGTTTTTGTTTGAAATAAACAGAAAACATCCATCCTTTGGTAAGAGGAATAGTCACAATTTAAACCTGTAGCGACTTATTTGGGGGATATCATATTCATAAATTAGTTTCCACAAAGAACCCAATTGTTCACTTTTAAGACGTTACTGTTGTGATTAGTAATTCATTGGTTATTATTTATTAATTGGTCATAGTTCGCAAGTAGTTCTCAATGAGGATATATTTTTTTAGTAATTATCAAATATCTAATAAGTAACTACCTTTGTCCTAAATTTACTTACTGCTTAGTTAATCTTGCTTCTCTATTAGTTAATAGTATTAAGTTAAGTGTTAATGTAGTAGGCCTACTACCTATTACTTCCTGCATAGTTACTTGTTAACAAC